CCATGGTCTAGTAATCACAGTAGGGTTGGACTTGATGATCTTGGAGGTCTTTTCCAACCTAATTGATTCTATGATTCTAAATACAGGCCATAAAATCACTGCCTAACAGTGTAAATATAACACGCAACACTACTTTGTTATACACACAGTACCATCTAGAAGACAGAACACACTCTCTAAAATGAACAAGAACTTATGAATCAAGAAAACATCATCACAATAAAGTTTGTTTTAATGTTGTTTGTGTCAGCACTGTGAATTATTCCTTCAGTAGCACAATAGTTATGTCTGCACAGAAAGCAAAATCATCTTTCACAACAGTTTTCTTTCCACCCTTGTTGTGTCATAAACCATGAACTGGAGTCCACTGTGTGCAGACAACCCCTAGAAATATGTGATGTACTGCTTGTAATTCACATCACAGAAGCTCAACAGCATCTCAGCCACAAGAGCTGCTTCAAGGCATCAAGGAATTATGCTGATCTGCCACTGCATGATAGCTGCACACATTTGCAATACAACTGTGGTACCACACAAATAAACATGTTAGATGGGAACTACCCCTAAGGACAGTACATATATAGAGCATTTTCCCATGTTAGAGTCTAAAAAAATACGATGAACAGAATACTTACCTGATTTTATCCCTGAACTTCACTATTGGCACTTTTGCTCTAATCAGCTGAGGTCGCTCAATGTAGCCTGCTGAAAGGGAGAAAAACAGGCAATTAAGTTTCATGTAAGACACTGATCTCAATAAAAGCTCCTGGAATCATATTTACTGATTTATAGCAAATAGTAGCTTATCAAGTTTAGCAAACACATTCTCAGAAGGGTTGTGCTAAACTAAGTCACCTTTAGCAAATGCAGCAGAAATACAATCTATGAAAGCAGGTGAAAAAAACCAAAATCACACTGAACTTCAGGGAAGGAAGTAGAATATTAGAGTAGAAGATTATCCTGTGGGAAATATAATCCAGAAATTTGAACATAGGGAATACAGTTCTACAATGCATTCATGGACCAGTACTTGTAATAGGAATCCTGAATAGTCATGACTAAGTTTCAAAAATAAGGCAGCAAGAACATATCCATCCAGGATGGGCAGACACTTAAGCCCAACACTACATTCAGCATGTGATCAGCTGCATACTTTTAAGCTGTGCTCAGTTTGCTTACAGTTGAAATTATGCATTTTAATGATCAGAAAAATCAATATAACTTCACCATTCACTTACTACTCAGTCACTCATAGGCTTACAACTTCCTTTGAAAACTGTTTATTTGAATGATGAGGTCCATACCAAGAAATGCTACTGCCAACAGGACAATGCTTTCTATCAAAGGTGGGATAAGTTTTATCTGTCTTTTGCTTTAATAGTGACAGGACATGCAACAAATTCACAATCACAGGATGGCACCTCAGCTGATTATCCACACAGTACAGACATGTAGGCTCAATGCCAAACCATCCAAACCCACATATATGAAGCTCTGCCAGGCTCACACAGTGCTGCCAAACGTACCCTTCACACTCAGGTCCCCAAAACTGCTCCATCAGCCACAGTATCAACATTTCCCTATACTTCATGATATCTCAGGCTATATTTAGGAGTTGCCCATCATCCTGAATTTAAAATGTACCCAAGAAAGTAATGGAAAAGAAACAAAACCAGAGCCTGTGATATGAATTTGGACAAAAAGCACGATTTTAGCAATTTCTTCAGTTGCAAAATCTGAGGCCACTTGAATTTGCTCATCTCTAACATCATACATTAAAAAAAAACCTTAAATAAAACCTGATCTTCCCTCCCCCTAGCAAAAAAAAAGCAAAGAGGTATTTCTGTCAGTTTGAACAGCCACCCTGAATAAACAGCATCATCTCCATTGCTTGTCGATGACAAACTCAGGTTTGGTGAAATGCTACTGTGCAACACTCAATTAAAACAAATGTTACCTTTTTTTGAGACTCTATGAAAGTGTTCTATGGATACACACGTTCAGACAGATTTGACTTGTGGCAATCCTTCATCTGGATTTTAATGCATTGTACAAGACTGAGCCACACACAGACTGGCACTCACAATAAAAGATAACCTTAGTAACTTACTAATGTTAAAAAAAGAATATTATAGAACTCACTGGACATAAAATCTAGTACAATTTACACAAGTATCTCCTCTTTCTAGCTGCATCTTCGGACAGATCCAATCATCCCTCCTCCAGTATCCCAGAACATTCTTTAGGTGAAGCTGACAGCTCTGTCTCCTTTCCTTTCACGCCAAAATTTAAGGCCAAGATTCCCAACACAATAGCACACGGTAGACAGCTGTGGATATCTATCTGCATACCATGGAAATTCAGTTTCCCTCACTATGACCCTTCCCAAGTGCTCTTCAGAAGTTAACTGAACTCATTCTAGTGTCAATCCACTTCCAAACACATTCTTGTCTGCAAATGCCTGCCAATACTTGATGGCTGCTTGTGGCAAATCAGATGGCTAAGGAAAAAAGATACATCCCAAAACATAATCCCAATCTGTTTCCCAGCATGAAAAAGAGCAAAGAGGAAGTCAGAAGGAGCAAGAAGGAAGTTAGGAAGCAGTAACTTCCTGCTGGTGTCCCCTTTCTTGGCTCAGACCAATAACACTGTTAGCAGAATCTGTATTGTATCCACCTTAGACTGTTACACATACCAGGCAAGAAACAAGCACAAATACAGGATGTGGAATTCTGAAATATATCCAGGCTGAATAAGTGTCTTACAGAACTGAATATGTGACCTTGAAAGCTAAGACCAGAGGGGCTACACCAAAATACATGTGAAGAAATCCACACAGCTGCCCTGCAGTTTTGGGCTTGTCTATCAAAGAGTCACAAACACAACTCTGACTGCAGCAAAAGGGTATAACAGATTCAAAGAAGACTGAGCACTGGCTCATAAATAACTTATTTAACAGAATTTCAGATTAAATAGCTTAATTATCTCTTTTAAGGAATAAAAGATTAAGCAACTGTATAAAATATTAATCCCAAACACAGTCTATGGCAAAAAGATCTCTGGCATTCTGGACTCACAGCCCAGTTTCACTGATAGGGTTATACTACAGAAGGAGAAACTGGGCAACACAGAAGTCTGAATCCACAGTCATGAAGACTTTAGGAAGATACAACTACAGGATGAGCTACCTGCAGATTTTTTGGAATTCATTCACTCACCTGCATAGTCCTTCAAATTCATTCAATTCCAAGTTCCCTGGTCCCAGCTGTTGCACATTTTCCACTAGACAACCACAAGGCAGATTCCACTCTGATACCCTAACCTCAATACTACCGCACCTCTTTGTGTAACTAAGAGAAAATGAGCTCTTTTTCCAGATAGTAAACACCAGTCAACCCAATACTGCCAAGTTGTTTTCCAAATGAATCCTGCACAGATGAATTTGAGGTGAGCAATCGGTCTGATGTTTACTCCCAGTGGCTTGGATTACAATCTCTTCAGTTATCACTCCAAATTTATGTTCCACATTTCTAAAAGACACTGGCTTGAGCATACAGTTCTAGGAATGTTAGCCAGTATTATAGAAAAAGGTATGTGTAGGTACCTGAAGAAGTAAGTCAGGAAGTTACACATACTCAACCAGTTTTTGAAGCAGGTGACATATCTGCTATCCCCACATCTCTCTAGGAGAAACACACAACACACCTTCAAGACTAACACATCCCACAAAACTAGTGCATAAATACTAGAAGCTTTTTCTTACTTTTCTCTGTGATTAGACTATTCAAAACCAGAACACATTTTAATTTCAGCCAGCACTCCAGATGCAGAATGACAACACAGAAAAGCCTCTGCTCTGAGACTTAAAATCTGATGCATATTCCTTGCTCACACTTGCTCCTTTTGCAAGACTGAAACTGAAATAAACTGGAGTTTATACAAACATTGAATCCACTACCCAAACCTCCTAGAATGAAATACTAACCTAACAACCACATTTGACTGTATATAAACGATGAGAGAGAGAGCACTCAAAGTTCTGAAGATGATTTACCTAAGACAAATTGTCAAAGAGACTGATTTACACTTGGAACACTTCTTAATTTATCAGTCATGGAATGCAGGTGAAAGAGAATCACACTCTTCTTACTGGCCTAATTTTGGAACACATGAGAACATCATAGTGCAAGAACAAAGAGGAAGGTTTTAGAAGCACAGTTAAGAAAAACTTCTTCCAAGTTTCTGAACTGAAGCGATCTGGAAATAGGTTAAAAAATCACTAGAACTTTACCTATACAACAAATCTCATCCTTCTTTCTTTTGTCCTTTAACTCACAAAACCAGAGCAAGAACTTAATTTTAAATAATGTCTTATCTTTCCATCCCCTTCTTCCTTCTCTTAGATCTTGACACATACTTCATCAACTTTCATGTTTGGCCCAAACTATGTTTATTTGCATTCTTTTGTCTGAAGCAGGAGTAAGTTTAATGACTGCTCACACACTTGTTGAGAACACGCTGCAGTCCTTCTTCTTACAGAGGAAAGAAATACTTAACTAGTCTTGTCTAAGAAGGATTACTTTAGGATGACAATATTGCATCACATGTTAAAGAGGCAGCACAAGACCTGCTAACAATGATCAGAAACAGCTTCATACGTTTCAGTTTGTCAGTTTGTCTTTGATTCAGAGTAAGCACCACTTAGCAACTAAAACTTCAGTGTGTTAACAACATTATTCTCATACTAAATCCAAAGCAAAGCACTGCACCATCTACTAAGAAGAAAATTAACTACCTCAGATGAAATCAGGACACCCCTTGTTTCAGAAGTACTGAACCTCTGCACAGTTGAGTTACAGCTTGTAAGTGAACTAAATCTAAGTGGAAAGAATGATATGCCAAAGCCTTTTCATTTGAACCAGGTGAACATTTCCAAACATCTTCTGTCTATCAGTTCTGTTCACAGAACATCCACACACAGACACAGGGACAGATGGCTATAAACAGGAATTAATGCCACAGAGAAGTTAAGATTCTGAAGAGATGTTCTAAGGGGTCTGTGTACCACAACTAAGAGCCTGAAAGGAGTGGTATTATCAGCTGTGCTTTGTCCTGCCTTACCTTCCAAAGAACATCCTGATTAAATCAAGCTGACCAATTGCACTTGCAAGGTAACAGAGAATTAGGAAAGCATCAAAAATGAGCAATGGCACAAATACCTTTCAGGATGACTCACACATGACCATCGTACCTTTCTGATACTGGTAAACAAACTTGATTTCGTCTAAAGCTCTCTCACAGTACAAAACCTCTTGAAAAAGATTGTTCATTTAGAAGCTCCCTTTCTGATTCCCTGAAAACACAACGACTTTATCACTGTGCTTGTGAGAAGGCACTGCAGATACATCCCTTGCCAACCCAGAGTAACTTCTGGACTCTTTATGCAAACGTCAATATACAATAGCAGTAAGCGCTAAACATCAGATGCCTGTTCTATCAAGTCTCTCTCCCAAGTGAGCTGCTAAAATCTGTGTGTGCACACTCGCCAATGAAGAAATTTTGAAGTCTGCATTTAAATGTATGGTTTGTTCCTTTTGGCACTGCAGGATTGTTCAGAACATCAATATAAGGAGTAGCATCAAAGAATATATCACAAGTCTGAGAAGGAGGATGATAAAGTCATTGAGATCAGTAAATGTCAGGGTCTTTTCTAATTCAAAGGATCATACAAAAGCCTCTTTGAAGTAGGAGGCTTTCACATTTAAGTCAAGAACTGCCTGGGTGAACTCTTCATCTCAAGGGAGTCTAAATGGCAACTTATAACAACTATGAATTGACCTGTTTTATCTGTATGTGCTGCTGCTGTCCTCATTTAGCACTTTCTCAGGCACCCAAGTTAATTACTTCACTGGCATCAAGGCCAAAATCAATTCTACACATCTACCATGTCTGACATCTTATTGTACAAATTTTAAAGAGTGTTTTGCCGAGGAAAGCACTGCAATCTAAGAGTGCTAAGTTCACTAACAGAGGTTTCCCAAAAAGAAACCTACCCATTGTGCTCCACAATTCAAAAGCCACTTGAGCTACTACCAGGTATTGAGGTCCACTCGTTCTCAAGAAAACTGTTACATTTCCCTAATTACCATCTGTCCTGGGTTGCAATGGTATGTATTCTATTTTCGTCTCCACAAGCTGTTAAAGAAGGTGGGGCAGTGATCCTTATCACCATGTCCCTGATGGCTCCCTCAGGGGGCTGTCTCTGATTAATGGGCTGCCAAGGACCCATACATGACACATCCGCCCAGTGATCCATTATCACCTTGTCCCATTGTGAGGTGACTCACCCCAGGGGTGGGGAGCCAAACATGCTCACAGGGATATAAGCCGGGGTTTGGACCAGCACAGGTAGCCTTTTGCCTGCTGGATTCCCAGAGGACAAGAGCTGCTGCTGGACCTTCAGGAGAGGAGCAGATCTGCGGGATCACTGCTCCAGCAAAGCCATTGCTCCAGGAGGACTGCAGCTACCATTTTAATCGGACTACTACTAACACCCTGACTGACAGGGTGTCAGGTTACTTTCTGACTCTGTCAGGTTATTTTTGTACTGTTGCATTTGTTGTTGTTTTGCTGTGTTGTTCATATTAAATTGTACTTCTGACTTGGAGTCTCTCACTGGTTTGCTTTCAAACCAGCACACCATCCATCAGCACCAAGTAACACTGCTAAATATTAACACCTTTTCTTCACACAGTACTGTAAGCTAGACAAGATGCAATCACATACATTAGTTACAACTATGCATCAATGCTTCTTCCAGAACTGCCAATAATCTTAGCACCTCACTGTAGCCAGGAACTTACAAAGTTTAGTACTGAAGAGCTCTTGGACAACGCTGAGTATTCGCCTCGCTTCAGTCTTCTGATTCACCTGGAATATGATGTTAAAGAAACAAGTTGGTGTCCCTCATTTAGGTGTTCCAAGTAAGCATTCTTTACTTTCAAATTAACTATCAGAATAAGACATGGACATACACACTAAAATGCTGTATACCCTACACATACGTCTACCATGGCAAATGCCAGACAGGACAATCCATATTCAACACGCAGAGTAATTATCACTCAAAAATCATAGAACTGGAAGAAAACCCACCCCCATTCACACAAAAGTGTCCTCTCCTTCCCTTTAAATGATGCTTCAATTCTTTCAAGATCATGCACTATTTAGATTTCTTTTTTGCTACATCTTTTCTCTCAAACTAAATTCTACTCACAACATTTCCTCTCACTAAAAATATTTAGGATATTTTGCACATCAAATTCCTTTTTATGCCTGATCACTAAAATTGGTAGCTATGAATCTAAATAATGATGTAAAAAATTGGACTCATTAAAAGTTGCCCCTGCATCTAAAATAAGTTAAGAGTTCTCTAAACAACTTTATTCCTCATTCTAGGCATTTATTTCTGCAGTTCTTTCACTTACGAATTGAAAGCAATTTTTGTGCGTGACTCCCTTCACCAGCCTCACTACCCTTCTCTGGACCTGCTCCAGCACTTCAATAGGATATTGAGCACATGTGCCCTGAGGAGAGGCTGAGGGAGCTGGGGGTGTTCAGCCTGGAGAAGAGAAGGCTCAGGGGAGGCCTTATCACCCTCTACAACTCCCTGCAAGGAGGTTGGAGTCAGGTGGGGGTTGGTCTCTTCTCCCAGGCAACCAGCAGGAGGACAAGAGGGCACAGACTCAAGCTCTGCCAGGGGAGGGTTAGGCTGAATGTTAGGAGGAGATTTTTTACAGAGTGATCAGGCATTGGAATGGGCTGCCCAGGGAGGTGGTGGATTCACTGTCCCTGGAGGTTTTCAAGATAAGACTGGATGTGGCACTTAGTGCCATGGTCTAGTAACCATGGTAAGGTTGGACTCTATGATCTTAGAGGTCTCTTCCAACCTGTCTGATTCTAGGATTTCTGGGCCCAAAATTCATAGCTATTATGAGTAGAAAACTATGTTATTAAATCAAAAGGACTGGACCATTTCTTTATCATTTAAGAATCATCAGTTAGATGTTTATCATTTTATCATGTTTATAATGTAGAATCATTTTAGCCTTATAAAAACACAAACCCAGGCTTTGCTTTAACTATGTGTGTTTTAGATGACTTACTGGTTCTTCTTTAACCACCAGGCACAAATCAGCATCACTGCTACGAGTGCCAAATCCATTCAGTGAGGACCCAACCAGAAAGAGTCTGCTCTCTGTAACAGAAAAATGACAGAAAAAAACCACGACATTTAACATGAAGGAAGAACCACAAACCTGAAGAATACTCAAATTGGTATTAAGTAACCAAATTCAAAACATACGTGGAAATATTTGCTGTATTTCCCTCTGGAGCTGTGACCTGCAGAGCTCTTTACTGTTCAAATCTGAGGGCTGTTGCCGACATGCTTGAAACAACTGCAGAATCTGCTGACTTAACTGGACACACACATCCAAAAAGCAAAGACACAGAGAAGTGAACATTCTTTCCTGCCAGAGATGCAACTACATGAAACACAGAAGACTGTTTTTTCTTTATAATGCAAACTCCAGGATCATTTCACATGACTACTCCATTGCCTAGAGTTTTACTGCATATGGAGTAACTCTCTGAAAGAAACTTCCTAGGTTTTAAACTTAAGTGTGGTCAATTTGTTACAAAAATATCTATCCACAGAAAACAAGTTTTTGTATCATTATCTGCAGCCCTTCAGTAAATAAGTAGTGTAAGACCAGACATCTCCTGCTGACTTTAATGTCAATGGTTTGCCTATCAGCAATAGGGAGAAAAAAATAACTATTAAAAACTGATTTAAATTAGGGGTTTTTTATTCTACACAAACTGTTAAAGAAGTAATCAGATCTCTGGTGGAAGGAGGTATTAACTGCTTTCTCTTAACAAAACTGTTACATGCTATAATCAACAGGCACATTGATACTGAAAGAAAAAGCTTCTGTCATGTGGGTGCAGACAAGGTAATAAAACTGATTAGTCACATGGGGAGTTTTGTATTTATTTATTTATTTGAAAAACAAAAAGAAACAGTTCTAAACTACACTGTCCACTAGTTCTAAACTACTCCTGTCCACCTACAGAAGGCATTCTCTTCTACATTTTAGCAAGGACAGTAATTTTCATGCCCTCTTGGAAAGAGGTGGAAGATACATTTACAGGCCCAATACTGTATTTATTCACATTACTCACATTACTCTGGTGGCTTTTTTTCAAGCCGGATTCTCCTCACCTCATATGATGTCACAAAGGGACCAGTTTTTACTTCCTGGAGCAGACATGTATGTTTCCTCACATTAGTATGGAAACCAAACAACACCCTGACATCCTCCCCACCAAAAATGCTCCAAACCCAAGCACACACAGGGAGGCTGTACAGAACCATAGCAGCAGCAACATTTACTGACACTGTCAAAAACCCCTGCAGACACTGCTGTGGTCTCCCACAGCACTCCTGGACTCTGCCTACTCAGAAGGCAGAAGCCAAGCACGAGCACAACGGTATTACCTGATCTTTGGCCTCGGGGAGTGTAGTTTCTGTCTGGTCTGGTAATAAGGTATTCCGCAAGGGAGGGACACAGCCAGCCAAAGCTGGTGAGCTACCCACGAGGTGCACTGGAGACCAAACTGATCTTGGGAAGGAGTGTCTACGTTCTTCTGGTAAAGGCACAGCATGGTTAACTACACTTCTTCCAGAATTAAGTGAAGCAATCCGCTGCCGTTTGACATGACTTGGATAAACTTCTTCACTTTGTCTCCTAGGGAGAGAGAGACAGAAAGAGTATAATTCCTCTAGTTTGTAAGCTCCAACCTATGCTTAAGAGACAGTTTCTACAAAGTTCAAATATCAGTGCTTAAGTATGTAAGTTCTTCACTACAAGCAAGTATTCTACAGAACAGGCATGAAACGAACATGGAATGGGAAAAGGGAAGACAACTGCAGAACTGCAGCTACCCCAGAACTGAATTGATGCAACTGCTTCAAGGTGTCTGCACCAACCAACTGAAACCCAAGGAGCTTCTTTAGTTCGTGCGATAGTCACATACTCAGTTGTAACTTAATACAACACACTTGATTTTACTTATTTTTACATCTGTTAGATCTAGAAAAGAAACAGTATACAGGAAACAGTTCTGCAGACAGATTACATGAACCTTCTTCCCTATCAGCTGATTCACAGAATGATTACGAACACATCAGGTACTGTATCTGAACTGATAAGGAGAACAGATGTTTTTCTTCTAAAGTGTTGAAAGTAAAACCCTACATTCACCTGGAATTTCTCTTTCTGTGGTAACTAAAGTAAAAAAGGCAGTTGCGTAAATTCAAGTAAGTTTAAGGGTTTTTTAAACTAAAAAACTAGGTTTCCATAAAATTCCTCTTTAAAACAGAAGAACTTACACATGCTTGAGTTTAGTACTCTGTACTTGAAAAATAAAGCATCATGCAATTAAGAAAATCACCTAATGTGCATCAAAAAACCATCACAATTCCCATAAAACCCTGAGGGTGCAGGAACTTAACTTTCTCTTACTTTGACAAATGAACAGGAAGAGAACATTTGTTGACAGAAACCTTCTTACAGCCAAGCGCACAGACTACACACTACTACAGCACTAGAACAAATCACTTAAATCACACTTCTGCAAGGCTGCAGCTGCTGCAAGAGAAAAAACTACACATAGGAAGTCACTTATGAGTACTAAAACTCTCAAAAGCAGGTACAGGAATGTTTTTCAGTACTGCAATTTCTAACATAATTCAGGTTGCATAAGACATTGATATTAAATGACCTTCACCATGGGGAGATTACAACCAGTATTACACACACAGAAATAACTTACTTTTGTCCTCGAAATGACATGGGGGCATCAGATGTAGACACTGGACTGTCAGCTCCATAAGTCATTGGGTGCAGTGTGACAATTGGAGTAGCTGCAAGGCCCCCACTCAAGACAGCTCTAGAAAAACTACAATCCACAGCCATTACTCACAAGGTAATTAAGATAGTTTTTATGGGTTGATTGTTTTTGTTAACTGAATATTAAACTGCACAAGTAAGTCCTGTGATTTTTCTCCTCTGTATTCAAACTGAAGACATGTTTCAATAGGTAATTCATTAAGACAGAAAATGGTCATTCTTCACAGAACATGTGTAAGAAGGAGATAGCAAACCAACTAACTTAAGGCATTATTTAAAGTTAAAAGCCTAAAGAACACAACAGTTTCTTCAAATCTTGACCCAACAATAAATGTTTCTTCCCCTTCTCACCTCCTCCCCATTCTTCCCAGTAAACAAATACAACTGAAGACCTTTAAACCTGAACTGTGGGTTCTTAACTCTAGTCAGTGCCATGGTATCTCCTGCATTATGCACAGTGCAGGTGAGCATCAAAACATGCAGGTCACCAACAGAAACAACAGAATTCTTTGACTCGTGACATCTTTATGTCTTTGAATTTCAATGCACTTCAACATTAAAAACAGCGACAACCACCCTCCACAAACAGAAGTACTTCTTTCAGAAGACTCTTTGCTCTTTTATCAACCCAATTCCCACTATCAGCACTTACACCTCAGTAGGAAAATAAAGCTGAGGATCAACAGCTCTCTGGAGAGGAAGACTAGAAGGTACACTCCGAGGAAGTGGACTGAAGAAACTACTCTGTTGTGGATTTTTTGGAGAGAAGGGTGGATGACCCAAGCTGGAAGAATTTGGGAACATGCTCCCTTCTGCTTGAACTGAACATGTATCCTTCAAAAAAAAAAAAAAAAGAAAACTGAAGTCAGGCAACAAGAAATACTATTTACCTTTTAAACTCTTCGTTTAAAAATCCAAGTAATCTAGAATATATTGTCAGAAAATGCTTAAGAGAATTGTGATTGTAAGCCAGCTTTATCTCCTTTCAGGATGACCCACTAACCAAAAATACTAAACTTTCACAATTACTACCTACTCTATTCATGTTTAAAAGTGAATTTTTAATTGCTCCCCTTCAATTTAATATTAGAAAAGCTACACGACACAAGACATACGAGTTTACATTTCAAAGAAAGGTGACATGTTATAGTGGAATATGTTTCATATTTCAAATGGTTCACAATAATATGCAAAGGAACACTTGTCTACAGCATAAGAACGTGTGAAGATGCAGCTGATCATGAACTGTGAGTAAAGACAACCTTTTTTCATGACATGACACTTTGGGTACAAATTGAAAGAGGGAAATTTAGATTAGGAATTAGGAAGACATTTTTCCCTGTAAGGGTGGTGAGACACTAGCACAGGTTGCCCAGGGAGGCTGTGGCTGCCCCAACCCTGGCAGTGTTCAAAGCCAGGCTGGATCAAGCCTTGAGCAACCTGCTCTGGTGGGAGGTGTCCCTGCCCAGGGCAGGGGGTTCGGAATGGAAGATCCTTAAGATCCATTCCAATCTCTAAAATTCTATGATTCTATGTAAAAAAAGCAGCCAAAAGATGACAGCAATTGTAAACAATCTACTCAGACAGCTCTGACTGTCACTGCAGGCAGCATTAGCTCAGGACACAGGAAAATGCACACCAAGGAGTTTTTGTGCTCAGGTTTGACATTGTTCCTTATTCCCTGTGATGACAACCCATGCTAGTGAGAACTCAGCAGTACATACATGGACATTGCTGCATCAGCTCCAAAAAAAAAAAAAAGCCTAAAAGCCTAATGCTCTCATAGTTGTTCCTCTTTGTAGTTTCCCTTTGGAGGGGTGAGGGGCAGCATTACATACTAATTACAGTTTTTATCTGGAGGTACACTTTCAATTCTGCTGTAAAAACAGGACCAAACTGCAGGGCAAGAAAGTCACTGGACGTGTAGATTTAATCGGAATGTACAAGTCTAGAGAGCACACAAACAATCGCTCCTGGTATGGACAGATGAGAGAACTAACTCCCTGGGCAGCCCACTCCCAACTAACTGTTTCTGGTAGGCTACAAATATTTATGTCTGCCCAGGGAGGTGGTGGATTCACCATCCCTGGCGGTTTCCAAGACAACACTGGGTGTGGCACTTAGCGCCACGGTCTAGTAACGACAGCTGGGTTGGACTTGAAAAACTTTGAGGTCCCTTCCAGCCAGGTTGATTCTATGATTCTAATACAGCTCGCTCCTCTCTGAGCACTCCAGACACTCTCTGGTAGCACATACAGGGCAGAGCAGCAATTTATGGCCAGAATTTGCTACTTACACAACCATCAGAACTCGAGATTCAGTCGCAGAGGAAACACACGTTCAGCTCAGCC